GATGCTAACTATGCAACAGAGGCGCAGGATATCATTAACATGATAAATGAGAAATATAACGAAATCGAGCGAGTTCTAAAAACCTACCATATAATTTTAGTCAAATTGCGATTGATTTCGAATCGGTCGGCAGGATGTTCACGACGCTCCAGAGCGAAATCAATCAACGACACTCCCTTGTCCAGAGTACTAATAGGAGAGGATCTGACCAGCAAAGCGAGGCTTCATCATCTTTTATATTAACGTAATTCCCCCCCAAAACGTATACCAAAATCGATCCTGCAAATTATATAAAATGGTGATGTCCCTGTTAGTACAGTAAATCCTTTTATCTGCCTTGTGCAAGCAAAACGAAAAAATCAAGCGAAATAATCAAACTTACTATTACTTACATCATTAACAATCAAACGAACTCGTATTTCTGTAAAGTAATAAACTTATGATAAAAAAATTAAGCAATAAGTTTCTTGCATATGGAATGCTGTAAAAATTAATCGTAGTAGTGGTAAGTGTGAATCAGTAATGTTATCTTGCATTATTTTTTTTACCTCAGTTACTAATCCACCGAATTTATGCTGTAGATTCGAAATTATTCAATTTCGGGAAAGTTCTCATGCGGAACTTATGATCTGTACAATAGATAGAAATTCTGTAGATATTGGTTGGGAAATTTACTTCGGGCAGAGAAAGAGATTCCAAAGAAATCATTAGTGATAGAACAAATTAGTTATAGAAAACTTGAAATAATATGATGCTGGGACTCGCATTAAATGGCCTAGGATCCGCGACTCCCTCCCTCTTTGATAGCATCTAAATTATTAATAAAGTATCTATCGGAAAAAATTATGGATACGTAATACGTGTTTAATCGTTTGACAAGTTTGTACGACAATCGATTTTCATATATACCTCATTTTTTTGATCGAACTACGGTATGTCAAAATATGTCAAAAGAGTATTATCGCGGTTATACGTGTAAGTACTACTTGTATGGTAGTTTTCAAATTTCTCTTTTTTGTTACATATTAATCAACCAACTTTCTTTAGCACTTTGTTCTTATATAAAAAAGCGTAATGACAGTTGTTCGTTTAGTGAGTTTATAAAACTATACCAAGAAATAATTATAGGATCTCCACCAGATTCTGATGACTGGAGTGGTTTAGAATCGACATGGCTCAGAAGATTCTTAAGAGCTGTAAAAGAAATTCTCCCAACGAATATGATGATATATTTGCAAAGGTTATGTATTTTGTTATTTTGCAAAATTATAAAGCATAGGGGGCTCCTGATCGGTTGTCGTACTGATCAGGGGTATTCGGTTGTCGTACTGGCCCAAGTGATGGTAGTTGCGCTTCTGATTGATCGTCGTATTGATTCTGAAGTATCTGGTTGTCGTACTGGGCGCTTCCATTGCGAATTGCTTTTTTTGACATCGTTATAATATTCACGAAAGCACTTTTACTACTTTTACTAATTAATTGTTTTTTTCTCAGGTGAAATTAGAAACTTCGAATAAATCTTTATTGAATTATTGGCAAAATATCGTTAACGAAAAAGGACAAGTAAGTTAAAATTTATTACAATTTTGCTTGCTCTATTACTGGTCATTTATTAATTTCGTTCATTATATTATGATAAACAGAAATCTGTAATCAATAATCATTTGTCTGGTAGCTTAAAAATATTGAATGCAGCAGCTGAGTATAATACAAGAACAATTGTTTCAAAAGTGGTAAA